TATATATATATAATTATAATTATATAAATCTTGTGGCTGTACGGCAGTGAAGCACCAAGGTCAACATTGATGTTGCTGTCCCTGATGACGGTGAAATTCTGACCCAAATAACGACTGCAAGACGGGTTCGGTTCTCTTGCCCTGCACCGTTGGCAGTCGGTAATCTCTCCATGTATATTGCCCGGCCTTTACACGAGACAATACCAGTATAGGTAAATTCTATGTCATATCCCCTCCTGCTTAAATTCGTTCTTAAAGATACAATGTGGAGCGTTTCTGAGGTATACAGACGCCTGTGTATCCAGGCGCCTTAGCGGTCCAAACCAGCATGGCTTACGGAGAAGAAAATGTACTGAACCGAATAGACGTGTATCGTCCTTATCTCCAATTCCTTTCCGGCGGGCCCCACGTCTTCAGATCACAACTTTTCTGCTTCCAGGTTCCCACTGCCACCAGTATCTGTAAAAGCACCATTTTAAGGCCTGATCGACCCTAGCCACATTTTTCCCATCCAACCCCAAGCAACCCTCTTCAGCTCGGTCTTTTACAGGGCCACTTGAGTGTAGGCACTACTCAGTCGTACGTTGTCCCAAATTCCTCAGCCTTCTTCCTATGGCTTACGGCTTGGTTGTAACCACAATCCCAGTTACCTACTTCAGTCATGTGCATGAGTCATGGTATGGTTATTTTCATGGTACACTAAGCCCGCTTGACTCTGGATCCTTCTGTTACCCCAGCGGGGCTATTCCACTAGTTTTTTATCAGGCAGCTGTTGATCGGTTCACTAAGCTTGGCAGCTAACTGACAAATGTTTCGTCGTCAAATGAAGATACTGGCCTCTTAACGTGGTCGGATGGCTTTTGAAGTGTGCTGTCATCTGTGTTTGATCTGTGTTGTGTTGTGGTCTGCCTTCCTCTGATCTGACTGGTTATCCAAACGCCTTCTATTTTCAGTGGTTTCCTCCCTTTGACCTGTTCTCACTCTGCATTGCGTGGAGGTTGTAACATTGGTACCCTGGCATCGACCAATAAATTTCGTCCGATTGGGCTAGCAACCTTTCAGATTGATTTTTCCGTCGACAGAATGATTGTTCTACTATAATGTGGCCATTAGTCATGTCACGCCTGAATGCATACGCAGGCAAGAAGAAAAACGTCCTATTTCTATTTGCTTTTCATGTTTGGTTTTAACACATCGTGGATGACTATAACTCTGTCAACGAGCTGCTTAGTACTAAAT